TACTTTGCTTGGTGTTCTTTCAGTTCTGGGCTGAACCACTGTTTTGAGTATGGGCATGGTTTGGCGGTTGGGGTTAGCTCGTTTACAGTAGCTGCGGTAATGCTAATAAGCTGTTCGACTGCATCATCCAGTTGTTCTCGTGTAGCGGATTCTCTCGCTTGGCTTAGGGCGTGTTGAATGGCTTGTCCCGCCTTTATCCAGTCTGTCCGTTCGTAGAGCTTTCGTGGTGGTCGTGTGCTTGCTAGTTCGACCTCCATGTTCCATTCGGAATAGGTAGCCCTGTGGTCTGACCCGATGCATAAGTTGATTGATAAGTTGAGCCCGACAATCAGATTGATCTTTCACGCATAAGGTGTTGGAAAGCGCGAATGAATAAATCATTATATATTCGTGATTGGATTGGATACAGCAGTGCGAACCCGAAAAAAGAGCGCCCATGATCGTGATTGTACTCAAATTGTCCCTCGAAAACTTTCACAAAACCTACCCGGAGACGCTACATGAAGCCAAACTTTCAACAATGCTTGCATTCAAGCAGGCAAATTTCCACACAACCCAAGTAAAAATCAAATACACGAATATCATCGCTCTCTGCTACCGAGGCACTCCACAGTTGTCGAGTCAGTGGTAAAATGTGGCTGGCTGAGAGCGATCGGAGTGAGATCGAGACCGCGCGCACGAACCACACTTTACCCCTTTCGGTTTTCCCGCTATCCTGGGGAAGCCATGAGGCTCCAAGCTCGTTTCCTAGCTTAACGTTAAGATCGGCACTTAGTTGGAGTGCGGCTGAAAAGCCCCGATCCTAATTCCTTTCATGAGTATACAGTGTCTGCCAAGGTGCCGTTGCGAAGCGCCAAATGGTAGTAAAAGCCAAGCGAAAAACGTTTTCAACGGCATTCACGGCACTAAAAAGACGTTTTGCATTATATATACAAAATGGTGTTGATTCGAGGTTCGAATTTTACACGAGACCCGGCTGATCAGCATCGTACGACCCACGCGGACTAACCATTCAAAGGCATATCACCGAGTCCCGATCTGCTCAGACACGGAGAAGTAGGCCTGTCCGACTCCGCAATGCCTCAATGTCTGATTCACTTTTAAGCCATATAATTTAAAAGTCCTTCGCTTTTCTTTATCAAGCCGAAAGTACCTCTGCAACTCTCTTTTTCAAGGCACTCCGGCAAACGCTACCCTGCTTCTAGTGCCCCAACATGAGGACCTCATTCGCTCTTCTGGCATTGGCGAACACCTTCGCATCTACTTCTTCGGCTATTCCTCTTCAACGCGGCAGTGAACAATGCCAAGACGACATCGACCGCAGTGACTTTGTGCGCAGTCGTTACTGCTATTCTCTCATTTCCGGAAGCGACCAAGATTTCTGCGAGAGATTTGAGAGAACGCCGTACGTACTAGATCATTTTTGTATCATTGAATGGAAACTGACGGTAAACAGGCAGGAGAACCGCCGTCATGTAGGCGGATGCTCACCCGTGCGGATTGAGGAAGTTTGCAAGTACTTGCCCAAGTCGGTTTCTTCAGCAGCATCTACTGCCGGCACCGGGTCGGGGGCATATACGTTCAGTGCCTCTACTGTTACTTCCGCTTCATCTGGTAGCGCTCCAAGCTTTCCATTTTCGGCAAGCCATGGCACATACACAGTGCAAGGCAGCTCCTCAGCTCAGGCTTCTCAAGGCGTTTATGATGCTTCCGCATCAACAATTCTCCTTCCTTCGACTGCAGTGGTCTCATCGATATCTTCGCCTCTTCGCGCTTCCCAGCAGCAGTCTAGCAGCCCATCGCTGAGTGGCTCATCAAATGGCATCCCGCTCGCTATCTCCAATGCAAAGGCTGGCAGCACTAACATAGTTGTTCCTGGAGTAGCGTCAACTGCAGTTGTTCCTTCGCTATCAACTTCTACTGCCTATTACACGACTACAATGACCGTTTCCGAAGTTGGGCTACCTGTATCAACAAAGACAGTGACGCTCACAGAGCTTTTTACGGTGATTCCGCCAGGTACTTTCACTGAGATTTCTCCGGCACCGGCTTCGCCATCAGTCACATTGGTAGAAGTCACTGTTTCCGCTGGCACCACTTATTATGAAACTGTTTATTTGATGGCGACATCGGAAACTGGTGTCAGGTCTTCCTCGGCAGCTTCGTCGTTGGCTAGTACCATTTCAACTGTATTTGGTTCCTCCACACCAGCCTCTTCTGTCCTCGCTTCCTCGATGGCTGTTTCTACGTTGGTCTCTTCCTCTCCGGTGGCATTTGTTTCTTCGGCAATCACCTCCGCAGCCGCATCTACGGTGGCAGTTGCTTCTATGGCATCTTCAACTAAGGGATCGACGACGGAACTTGCTTCTTCTGAGGTTGTATCTACCGCGGTATCATCTTCAGTGATGACTTCCTCTGTATCGAGCTCCTTTATTTCCGCATCTACAGCAGCCTCGTCCGATGTTACTTCTTCCACGGCTACTGAGACAATCTCTTCTTCGCTGGAAACATCTACCATTCTCTCTACGATTACATCCACATCAGAAACTTTTTCTACGACCACCTCTACTGATGCCACGTCGACAATCTCTTCCATGGGAACCTCAATTGCTTCTTCTTCCGAAGTCTTTTCATCTGCCACTTCATCGGAGGCTACTCCGACAGAGACCACTTCGACAGAGACTCAGACTGAAACCTCGACAGCTGTTACGGCTTCCTCAGCGTATTCTATACCTACGGAAACCTCACCAGCTGTAGTCTCTACGAGTGAGTCTTCCACGACAATCACGTCCATAGATGCCACTTCTACGGAAGTGTCTTCAGTAGCCACTTCCACTGCCTCTCTTTCAACAACGGCTATTTCGACGGAAGTTACGCCCACAGAAACACTGCCTGAGTCTTCGACGGAAGCACCCTCGGAAACCTCATCACCAACTTCGACAGAAACCCCAGTAGCCAGCCCCACCGAGACAACTTCAGCAGCAATAACCACATCCGAAGCTTCCACAACCATCACCACCACAGCAGCACCCACGCACACAAGGCCCCCAACCGTGACAAACCCCTCATGCCCCTCATCAGACGGTGATCTCTTCGTTGCAGACAACGGGGTTGTCTTCCAGTTCAACTGCGACGTTTTCCAGTATACTGGTTATGTAGCGGTGTATAGGGCCCAAAACATCCGGAGTTGTTCGCAGATGTGTTCGAACACTGCGGCTTGCGTTGCCTGGACGAACGGTGCTGCGTGCACTTTGTGGAGCAGTGCTGTAGTCGCCTCTTCGGCTTCGTTGTCGGGTAACCAGGGTGCCGGTGTTCGGTATGTGGAGGATTAGCAGGGCGTAAGTATAGCACTCTTTACGTCCTTTAGAATGGGGGCAAACTCTGTAACAATTGCTTACTACTTTAATGATATATTAATAGGCTAAATGGCAAGATCATGAGACTACTCTTCTTACGCTCAAATATTACAGGAGCATAGTCATCTTCGGTCTGTGTAGCAGTCCCACATTTGAAATTTAAAGTCTACCAATGAACCAGACAGAGAAAAGAATATACCCTTAGTTCCTCAGCAAAAGGTACCCACGAACTGCCTATCAAGTAAATCCTCACACAATCACGCTCCCTCACCCCGCTCCAAACCCCCCATCAACCTCAAGCACGCTGCCCGTCGCAAACTCCGAAGCCAGCAAAAACGCTACTGCGCGCGCAATCTCATCCGGCCCCGCGACCTTCTTCACCGGCATAAACTCCGCAAAATCCTGCTTCGTCATCCCAGCGATCTTGGCCAAATTCTCGTTAATCTCCGTCCAGATCATCCCAGGCGCCACAGCCGTGATATACAAGCCTTGCTGCGCGTACTCCAGGGCTGCTACACGTGTCAACCCAACAACCTGCATCCAGTCAGCTTGATTGCAAACATCGTTCAATATGTTCAAGGTGACAATCAACGCACCGCATGCTTCGTCGCGGTATAAGCTCCCGCCCGTGGCACCCCGTGCAGCCCCGCCGCAGACGACATATTCACGATATGCCCCTTTCCGTTCGGCAGCATGAGCCTGATCTGCTCCTGCATGCACCAGTAAACACCACGGACGTTGACCTGCCACATGCGCTCGAACTCGTCGGTCGAGGAGTCACCCAGGGGCTGCAGCTCGGTTGAAATGCCCGCATTGTTGACCGCCGCGTCAAGACGGCCGTAGGTCTTGATCGTCTGCTCGTGCAGGTGCTTGATGTCGTCGAGGCTGGTCACGTCGGTGCGGATGAATGTTGCGGTGCCATTGGCGGCCGTGATGCGCTCGACGACCTTCTGCCCGTTGGCGGCGTTGCGGCCGGAGACGACGACGCGCCAGCCTTGTGAGGCGAGGAGTTCGGCTGTTGCGCTGCCGATGCCTTGGGTTCCGCCGGTTATGATGCACACTTTGGCCATTGTGATGTGGTTCGTTGTGTTGACTGTTGCTTCACTGATTACATATGAGAAGAGAATGAAAGCGGGGAGGATGTAAGTCGTTGAGGTGCGATGCGGCTCGAGTGGAGTCATCACCGATGACAGGTTATACAAACTTTAGCAGATGCACAAGCTGCATTTGCTTATGATTATCACGTCATAGCACTCAATTCGACACAGCGCTGAGTAAGACTGTCCAACATCGGACATTTTGTATGCTGTACGACGTCCGAGTTCTGATAGGAACAACCCGCCCAATGACATCCGTCATCAAATAAATTTTGTTACAGCCTCGCTGCTGACAGAGTTTGTGTTGCGAAGGTTTATTTGGATCATTTGTATAAGCCTACCAATATCCGGTTGTTGGAATGTGACAGTGCAATTGCTCTCCGGATCCGTAAAGCCTCTCAGACCAGAAACATGCTGGAATGCAAAAGCTCCAAGTGCTCCACGAATGCAGTAAATGGGGAAGCAAATAAAGTTGCACCTGAAAAGCCATATCCCTACCTTAAACAGGTTATGACCGACTTCTTCGATCAAAATAGGGAAACTCTTTCGAATACCTAGAAACAACAAGCTGAAGAAGGCAGTTCTGCGATTAAGAATTGATAGAGAGTTCGGGTATCAGTTTAGGCCATCAACGCAATCTCCAAACCATCAACGTGAACAAATACCTTTTTGACCAACAAAGTCGTTTACACCAAAAAAGGGCCACCCACTAAAATGCCCATCAGTGTTCTAAACGCGTGCTCGTCGGGACAGCCAGCCCGGAGTATTTTGAAATCGTATGGATGGAGCCTGCGTTTACTTCCTCGAAGCCATGTAATGATTTCCTCCGTATGCAATACCAACAACTTCAAAGAAGAAGGTAGAATTCCACCATAGATAACGAGCGGTTTTCCAAAATACGGGCTGTATAAATCCCCCAGCACCAGGAAATGGAACTCGCGGGGCATACTGAGCAAACTTACTTCATATCAATCATTGCTCCACGTCGTAGCTTCCTCAATCGCTGTCGAACTTTGCGGTGATGTACGCGTGTATCAAAAGAACGTAGAGCGCAAATGAATTTGCTCCGACGTCCACAAAAACTCAAGACCGACCTTCCCCAGCACTCCCCCTCCAAACGCACCAAGCACGCCCCTCCCAACCCACCACCACACATCCACCCTCTCACCCCTCTCGGGCCAGCCCAACACCCGCAAGTGGAGACCCGACCGTCCCCCTCCACCTCCGGCGCGCTCAATTCCCTATCTCGCATCCCGCAACACCACCCCCCTTTCCCCCGCGCAGGCCCAGGCCCCTCCCCCACTCCACTGCCCCAGCATTCTCGCCAACACAACCACGGCATGACATGGCAAGCCACGGCATCAGCGCTGACTCAGCCCACCACTCAGGTCCCAACTCAATGGGGCCCAGGGAGCCAGGCGCCAGGGGCGTGGCGGCGACGATTGGGCGGCCTGATGAAACGGCCGGCCCGGCAGGCGTGCATGCATAACACACGCATGCAGGCTAGCGCCTCAGCCGCAGCTGAGGGGTCAAGGGCAGCGTGCATTGGCCAGTCGGAACGCGCGCAGGGGCGCAATTGTGTTGTATAAACGAGCGGATAGCGAATGGGGTGGCGGGGGCATGCGGACTGACGTCTTTGCGAGCGGCGGTCGTAGCACAGGGCGTGTCAAGACCCGTCAAGATCCGACGCCCTTGCGGCCACGGACAAGCGTGGTGGACGAAGTCCGGCTTCGTGCCTTTGCTGGGACGGTGCCCCCTGGGGGAGTTGCCTGCTGCGTGTGGCCAATTGCGCTGACGGCGCCGTCGTACGGCTAGAGAAGCGCTCGGCGCTTTGTCCTATTCCTTCTTCTTAGGACCGCGGCCTCAGGCCGTTGCTGCGAGGGCTGGACGACTACTCGCTCGCTCGCTCTTACTTGCACACCTCCCCCTCACGAACTCACTCACTTACTCACTCACTCACCCACCCACTCGACCATCTCACCCCAGCGTGCGGCGTCACACCACTCTGAGTGGCTGGACCAGGCAAACCAGCCAGGCAGCCTCGCCATCCTCCCGACATCTCCCACGGACAAACCCCCAAAGACCCGGCTTCTTCCCGCCCGGGCCTTGATCCCGTCTCCGTTGCATTGCCAGGTCGTCGCAGGTCCCGATACCAAGGCAACCATGACCGGGACAAGGACGCCCACGAGCAGGCAGGGCGACGGCCTGAAAACGGCAAGCCGACAACACCCCGCAAAGTCCGCGCGCGCTCGTCCGGCCTTGCTCCAGAAAACCCGCTGCATCTGCCCGCTTGCTTGCTTCTCTGTGCTCTTGCTTTGATGTAGCTATCCTTCTTCTTTATAAGCAGTAGTACCGGCCAGCAGCACCAACACAACAATGGCACAACCAACAATGGCACACCCACAACTCCCCGAGGAAATACTACCTACCTTTCCTTACCTTACCCCACCACTAAGCCCCGCCTCTCCACCACCCTTTCACGTCCTGATAGTCGGAGCCAGCATCTCGGGCCTTGCACTCGCCCACGCTCTTCAACGCGCCAAAATCCCTCACACGATACTGGAAGCTCAGCCGCAAGTCACACACCCGGGCATTGGCGCCAGCATCGGGCTATGGCCGAACGGGATGCGAGTACTTGACCAGCTGGGTGCATGGGAGCGTATCAAAAAGGAGTGCAACACGATGGGGGACTGTTGGGACAGGGGAGACTCTGGAGGTGTGGTGGGAAGGTGGGGGTGGGGCTGGGGTGTAAGGGCGAGGTGAGTGTTGATGTTGTTTGTGTGCACTTGCCCCTGCGTCGGTGCCGATGTGGAGGAACGGCGTGTTGTTGGGTACACCGAGTTGACGAACGTGGTTGCAGGAACGGGTACACAGGCTTCGCCGTCCTCGAGCGCGCCCATGTCGTCAAGGCGCTGTGGGACACGCTACCCGACCAGTCGGTTGTGGTGACCAACGCGCGCTTGGCCAACATCGTCGACGGGCCTGACGGCGTGCGTGTCACCACGACTTCCGGAGCCGAGTATGCTGGTGACATTGTCGTCGGGTGTGATGGAGTGAACAGCGCTGTTCGGAGCTGCATGTGGGAGGCGGCGAACCGCAATGTGCCGGGATTGATCTCGGAAAAGGAGAAGAGGTGTACGTACCTACCATTGTCCTCACCTAGACGGTTAGTTGGCCATATAAAGTAATTTATTGACGGCAAACACGACATCCGCAGCACTCATAACCTCTTACAAATGCCTTGCCGGCATCTCCACCGCCCTTCCGTCCCTCCCAGGCCACACTACCAGCGACAGCCACATTTTGCATGCCCCCGGCCGGTGCATCCTTCTCCTAACCACTCCCACGCGCACGTTCTTCTTCGTCTTCCTCAAGCTCCCCCGTCCGATTCAGTACCCCGCACGCGTACGGTACACCCCCGCGGAGGCAGCTGCCGAGGCCGCTGCGCTTGCACACGTACCCCTAACCGACACAGGCACGGCCACGTTCGGAGATGTGTGGGCGCGCCGTCTTCGCGCGCAGCTCATCCCGCTGGAGGAAGGCGTCTTCGACACCTGGCACCACGGCCGGACGGTCCTGCTCGGAGACTCTGCGCACAAATTCAGCGTCATGCTGGCGTTTGGCGGGAATGCGGCGCTGGAGAGCGCTGCCGCACTGGCCAATTGCTTGCACCGTGAAGTGCTTGCACACAGAGGGTGCAAGGTCGGCCCCGAGGCCATCACCAACTTGTTTGAAGAATATCAAGCGCAGCGCTTCCCCCGCGCACAGCGTATTCACCGCCTCGCGCACCGTGTCATGCGCCTGCAATCGTGGGAGACGCCATTGCTGCGGGCGGCACAGCGCTTCGTTATTCCGCTGGTGGGAGAGGCCTGGGCGTTGAACGTGTTTGCGGCATTGGTGGCGGGCGGAGGTCGCCTCAACTTCGTGCCTGTGCCTGAGCACGAGAAAGGGAACGTGCCATTCGACGACGAGATTGTGCGTGGGGCGCTGGTGCGGAGATGTCCAGGCGAGGCCGGGTCGGCGGCGCTGGTGAAAGTGACGGGAATGCATGAAAGGTTGGCGGAGCTACTTCGTGTCCTTTTGTCGGCGGGACTATTTGCTGCCGTGGTGGTGAGCGTGCGAGCGTGGCGGACGTAGCTCGTGGTTTTAATTGTCCATTGTGGCTGTTCTTGTCGCTTTCTGTGTTTCAGGCTTTGTACCTGGGTATTCAATTCGGCAGAGATTCAATGGACAGCACGCCGATTTCCAACATGGGAAGCACTGGCTGAGGTTATTTGCGGACGAATACGGTCCATCGCCCTTTCTCCAACACTGAGGCCTTGAGCGCGGACCGAAGAGGTGGTGATGAATACGGACATGGCGACATTTGGAAAACGGCAAGATGCGAGAGAGGAGCGCGATGAAAGCCAGCCCGAGCAATCAAGGTTGCGCAGCCAAAACAGACGATGCCACAAGCATGGGCGTGGGAGGTTTGCGGATGGAGTTGATGATGTCGCGGTTGGCGGATGGCGTGGATCAGCTATTTTTAACCTTAGATCATGACTAAGCTTTCGTCTCGGCCAGACCCGCGCCAATTTAAAGCGGCGAAAGGCGAACAAAAAAATAAAAAAAAAAAAAAAAGCAAAAGAAAAAAAGCAAAAGAATAGACTCTCCGACGGGGAATCGAACCCCGGTCTCCCGCGCTTGCTAATGAGGATTATCATCATTGACAAGCGGAAATCATCACCACTAGACCATCGAAGATGTAGGTGATTATCACCTGATGGTTGATGATGAGGGTCACCGTTTGTACTTATGTACTGCTATTTTTGTGTCCCCCACAGCAGTAGTAGTGCTCACCTCAATCAAAAGTAACGCATTGCAACCCTGTGTTACTCTAGAATTATAAGCCCATGGTAACTTGCTGTCAGTCGCTCTGCTAGTTTAAATCTCTTTTCCAAAGTCAAATTATCTTTGCTGTCGCAATGCCGTCGCAGCGCGGTGCTAAATCCTCCACCTGCATAACCCGACTGAAGATCATGAAAATTCAAGCTCCCAAAGACAAACCCGAACTCCAACCGACTAGCACTAGACTATGCGCTCTTGTTTCAAATTCCAGATTCCCTTTTCCAGTCATCACCACTTAATCCAACTCGCCATCAACGGCCTCACTCCGCCGACTCCACCTCCGAACCACGGCCGAACATCCTCAAGCCTCGCCTTTTTGTCTTCATCTCATTCTCCTCTCTTTCTATAAGAGGCAAGAGCTCGAATTCGCTGTCCGCACGCACAAATTTCAACTCTCCATTGTCGCCTTTGCGTAACTGGCCACGCATCGTCTCCGCCATTTCGTTCATCTGCGTGACATAGCCGAGGTTTAGATTCTCTTTTTCCCATCCTTGAATACCATGGAAGAACGGCGCCAGAGTTGAAGATTTCCAGAGGATTGTTCGGTGTTTTTTGCTTTCTTTCATGGAGACGATAAGGTAGGCGATCGCCATTGTGAGTGTGATGAGCGGGAGGCTGAGCCATTCCCATCGTACTTTGATGTATGTCTCAGGAGCAAATGCCGTACCATCGATCCAGGTCTCTCCAGGGCTGCTTGTCCGAATATGTTCAGTCAAGCTTCGAACCATGTCCTCCATGACTAGAGAAAAATTGTTTTTTCGATAGAGCGCTGGAAGCATATTCTCTTGCCCAGAGTTTTTCGGGCTACCCAGTGTACTCATATCGTAACCAAGGTCCATAATGAAGTCGTTCGTGTCATTTGAAAATAAATGGGAGTGGCCATCGACTATTTTCAAATTGTTAAGGAGGTAGTTGATCAGTTTTATTTCTTCTACGGGATCTACATCAAATGTAGGGAGTTTTCCAGGAAAAGCATCGACCTCGGAAGAAGGGATAGCGAAAGTTAGGTTGAAGAGCCCCCCGGGATGCGACTGTCTACCCTCTGTTTGGTTAGGGTAGATAAGCAGCAGCTCGTATGTCTTCGAGGATGGTATATGAATCGTGTTGTTTATGATGCTCATGTTGTTATATAGGTAAGCACACCAATAGAGTCTACAACTCTGTATGTTGTCCTGCTGGATGGGCGGCTGAACCTTCGTAGCATTTGAGTAGTAGATCTCTCTCTTTTCCGAACTCCTATAAGCTGTGATTTCCAATATACAATTAATGTATGGAAAACCACATTGCTTCGTGGCAATCCAGTGAGAGGCTCCCCAGCGGTAAGTTTGTACTGAAGCCTCTGTGAAGTTGCGTGTCCACTTGAACTCCTCTAGGATTTGTATTGGATTTAATGTGTGCTCGCTGGTCATATTAAGCACACATTTCGTATGGTACTGGTTGAATAGAGTGCCGTTTTTTACTCTGAGGGTACTTCTCGCGGTAGAGCATTCGTTGGTGCTAGACAAGGAAATGTCATGGCAAGAAGAACAGACTCCTAATGTGATCATTGGGTCATACCACTGGCACAGTGATGTCGGGCAGTTCGGGGATGATTTTACACCAGAGGCGTAGATACCGGTAAAGATGGCGGCTTGTGTTGCCGGCTCCACGCTGCCACTAAATTCCTCTTTTAAGGTCCAATTTTCTGTTCTGTTGAACGCTCGTGTTACCCGATACGAAGCCGAGGTGGAATTGGAAGGGGCTGAACGAGATGGGTATTTGATAATTTGTTGAGCGAATGGATCCGAAGCCAAGGCTATTATGGTAAGGAGGGCGCCCCATGATGCGATCCAGTTGCTGCTCTTCATACCGATTATCAACTTTAAAGCACCCCAGGGGCCTCGACTAGCGTCATCGAAGAATTGAAGTTTTAGCAATCTGTGCGGATTTCGCTCGAAATGGGTCCATTTAGCCTGGTTTATGCATTGGGAGACCGGAAGAAGGAGCGCCGATTTTGCCACTGTCATGAAAACGGATACGAGCGAGTTGGGCTGAATTGGAAAGTCCCATTTGGCTAGGGCTTTGCCGTTGAAAGATGCCAAAATAACGATAACTGCAGCCATGCAGCTTGCCGAGAGTAGTACTCCAGCGACCTCCCAAAGCCACCAATCATCGAACAGAATATTCAGATTGCGGCGCAAATCCATGCGGTAGGATGCTTTCTCTTCTTCAATTAACACCTCTCCATCTTTGAGGTGCTCAGTGTCGGTGTTCCATCCATTGTCCGGTCCTCCAGTAATAGCAGAACGGAATCTGTCCTGAACGTTTTCTCTGAGGTTGGATTCGTCACTGGAAAGCCTTGCTGTTTCATAATCCGCTCCAGGGCTGTCTGCCATTGAAGTATAATGTTGACTTGGCCTCGTTGGAATATAATTAGGAGATGAGTGGTGTGAATACGCAGAGTGGTTGTGGTAAAGCACGCTGATCGGGTAGTGTGATTGATTTAAGAATTAGAAGAGGTGGGTAGGCGAAATTTGTGTAGTTTGCTGTACGCTTCAACCCAGCTTACCCTTTTATTAGATTCTGCTTACGGTTGTGCAAATATGCAGGATCTAAAACCTATATATACACTGTAGGTTAGAGAAAATAATCTGTCACTACTCAGGTGAATCTATTATAAGCCGCTGTCGTACAACTCTAATCCAGTATCAGTATTGTTAGCGAAAATCGTTTCATACGGCTCGTACAACCACCCCAGCCCACCCGGCTCAGCTGTGGCTACTATTTAAACGTCATTTCTCTTACCAAGGCTACTGCCTGGTTATGTTGTTTTTATCACAAGGCGCAATAGCAGAGCTTTGCTGCCCTTCCATGGAGTTAGAAGTAGTAATCTTATTCGCTATTCAAGGCCCAGATTGCCCTAAGTAGAAAAACTGTGGTTTGAGTGACACTCGGTATTAAGTAGTACTATCAAAGTGCGTAATTAGTGCTGAACTTTGCCTAGGGATGAGAGGAACAAACAATAGGCAAACACTAAGGCAATAAGCCTCGCTGACCTAGGCCGTAACAGCACTACAACGTAGTAGCTGATGGTGTGAACATGTTTCTTAATCTGCAAAGTCTGGAGCTATTTAAAGAAGGGATCACGAGGCTATTGCTAGGAACCTCCGCAAGCCACTGGAAGACCCCGATTCGAAAAGAAAGTTGTTGTGTTCCGTATCAGCATCACTGATTGTCCGCGATCTGGCGCTTTGGGGATGTCGCGGATCGGTTGAGGTTGTCGTGCGTCTGTGGAAGATGGGAGGTTGTAAGTGGGGAGGCTCTTTATATTGCGAATACGAATACGCAGCAGCGCGTACCGCGTTTCTTCTTCATTTTGCACCCGTTGACATCACCTACGAGACTCTCTGCATTTCACATCACCCTCTGCACATGCACCTCGTATCTCATCGGCTCAAAAAGCACCATCTCCTTCGCTACCCGCTTTTGAAAGCAATGCTCAGCAGATCGCCGACGCGGCAGCCTCTCGAAGCACCGTCGTGCGGCCCGTCCGCACCTGAAGCCGCGATCCGCGCATGGCTCAATACGGATCTGTTGGAGAAAAAAGACGGGCACAAGGCGGAGCAGGAGAGGATTGATTGCGCCGACAGCGAAGGTCGGGAATGGCAATGACAACAGTGATGGGTTGGCAATGATAGTGTTGGAGAGGATGATGCGACGCGACGGTTTGGGGCTTGTCGCTTCAGCGGGACGCCTCAACCAGCACGACCTTTCCTTCCACTTCGATGACAACCCGCCCAATGATGGCACAAGATGGATCGATGGAAAGACTCTAAAGTTTGGCTTCACGTTCCTCGCTGCCCGAGCAGTTACAGCGCCACTGGCCAAGAAAATCCAGCACCGCCGAGCGTCTCACCCCCACACTCCGCGCGCGGACCCCACGATCCGCAAACCAAGACTTGCACGGCCAAATACGAGATACCCGAGGGGCGAAACGCTCGTTCAGGAAGTTCGATCTGCAGCGGAAGTGGTGGCGGTGCCGCGGCCCGCGCCGTCGAGAGCTAGGCGACGAGAGCTAAGGTCGTCCGCGGAGACGCTGACACGCGGAGGCCCCACTGTGGGATTTGGACGAGAAAGAGACGTTTGCACCTCCAATGTCCGGATGACGTGCTGTAACTCTCCACTGCGGACGTTCTTGGAATGGTACTGCATTGGATTCAGGCTAACTAAACATTCTGTCAAGAGACGAATCCGACTCATCCTTCCCTTGATTGGGCAACTTTGGTTTGTTTCGCTGACGTTCCAAATGATGCCAATGCTTGCTTGAAATGCCGTTAAGTGTCATTATCTGGTTGATCCTGCTTCTGAAATCCTGCCCAAAATTGCACTCACTACTCGTATCGTCCTTTCGAGGAAGAGTACTCGGGTAGCTGTCATAGGGAAGAAAACGTTTGGCTGAATAGCTGCTGGTGTAACCATCCGAGGTATCCATGGATGTTGCGGAATCACAAGGCTCACCCGTAATATGTTCAGGAAGGCAGCCATGGCTAGTGGATCGATGTCTGGCAGAGGGATCACTTTTTCTCCGGTCCCTTGACCTACTTTGACAGATGCGGCAGGCCCAGTCATCTTCATCCAGAAAGGTGATATCAAACACAGAACTTTGGAAGCCACGACTAAGACTACTTGGCCATCGCAGAGGATGGGCCTCGTGTCGCCATTTTCATCGAACCACGTCGTCCTCGAAGATGGCACTTGCTCGCCAGGACTACCGGTGAGGCTACCATCCATCGTTGCGCTGAAAAGTCAGTTGCGGAGAGGGCGGAGTGTGTAAAAAATTTCAATGCCATGCGCGCTGTCTACCTCTCACTTCGGTAGACTCCATCATCCGATTCCCACAGGCAGCAGGAAATGATTACTGAATTGCATCCTCGTCTGCGCAGGAAAACAAGATTCAAGTTCTTAACCCCATGACTGTTCCAATGGAGTTCACCAAAGGTTTTTCTACACTCCACTGGCGAGACGGCTCTGATCTTTACGGAGGTAACAGAGGTAACAACAAACAGAGTTTAAACCACTCTATGAGATTGACAGCACCCGATGTCCTTCCCACCCTCTACCTACTTCTCCTCCGGGAGCAGCTTCTTCCGCTGCCGATCAAGATGAACCCAGTGCTTGTCTAGGATACCCGAAGGCATCGATATCGCCTTGATGCGTTCCCTCAGTTCATCTTGAAAGCTACACTGGTTGTGGCTGGTATCTGGGCGGTCGTACGAATAATGCCTGACCTCTCCTGAATGTTTGTATATGGCAAAGTTCGACAGCATATCCCGAAGAAACCGCAGGCTTTTGAGTCGCACGATGGCTGGATCACGGTCAGGCCAGAGGCCTAACCGGTTAAGCGGTAACGTTAAGGAACCAAAAGTCAACGCCTCGCACTGTACTTTTTGGTACTCTCTGTCTGCTTTGCAAATGTGTTCCCCTTTCCTTGCTGTTTCCGTATATTTCTCAATGTACTCATACATGACGTCCAGAAGGCGATGGAATGTCTCATTGCGGACTTCGATAATGTTTTCTTCCTTTCATGTTAGCTATGAGACTCTAAAACGTTCCAAGATCAAGGATCTTAATACCGATAAGATCCGGAGGTATATTGGTACGTTCGTCCGTTGGATCGAGGACCTTGTGACAAGCTGTCAACAACTCGCCCTCCTCGTTCAGTGTCAAGTCAAGGACTAGCCGCCTAGCCAATCTCTCGAACACTTTCTTGTTCCCGTATTCCCATGCGATCCAAAGCCATTCGTAGCAATCATCCTTCTCCGCGAGGTGTTCCAATTTCTGCATCCAGTTTTCGATCCATGGCTGGACACAGGCTGTTGCAAGGTATCTGTCCGTTAATACGGATAATGCCAGCAAGGAATCCAAGTCAAGCTCGTTAGGAACCTTTCCGAACCGGAAGTGAACAATGTTGAGGAAAACGGTTAAGCCAGATGAAGTTTCCACGTCATGTAGAAAGAATTCTTTGTGTTCAGTTATCTTGGATTCTTTGAAGTGCCCGTTTGGTCCGAGCATTTTTTGCCAGAACGGTGAATCGAGGCATAATACTTTGGAAGAGACTAGGAAGGTGTCTTCATCATGCAGGCTGAGGGTGGTGTCGCCGTCTGGGTCGAATACATGTCTCTGCGGCATGGAGAGAGGTTCGTCCATGCGACTCATTATGAACGCTGCTTCTCGCCTCGAGTCTCAGAAGATGTTGTGGATGGCGTTTGTTAATGAAGTGAAAGGTTTTCATTGTGTTTTTGGCTTCGGTAAAGCTGCTGTAGCACGTTGAACTACACGACGACGGCAAAATTTGTTTGTGTTACACAACAGGTCATGATACTGACGCTGAAACCCCCACACCGGACACCCGCAGGATGTGGATGCGTTGACATGGCTGCGGGATTGCAACCACGACCGCGAGCAAACGATGACTTCTTCATGTTCTCCATGCCGCCCCGCCTCGAAGATTCGAAAAGATGAAAGTGCTAACCATTGCCCATCAAAGCTTCGCCTTTTCGCACTCAACACCTCCTCAAACACCCTCTCTAGCCTCGCCAACCCCTCCTTCAAAATCTGCCGATGCAACACAATCCGCTTCCCATCGAGCCTAACGCCATGATCCCCGCCCAGCGCATTCCACTGCTCGACCCTACACCGCGCGACCTTCAAATCTGCCCACAACATATCCGACTACGTGGGCTTCAATCTCTTTCCCAATCCAACCCAAACCTTGCCCAGCCCCTTCGTGCGCCCACGCACCTCCCTCAGCCACCCCACCTGCTTCTCCCTGCCCCAATTCCCGTCCCCAATAATTTCAGCCACAGCCACTATTGCCACCGCAGCCAGCACACCCGCCTGTCCCAGCCCGACTCCCATCGCCTTCCAGATCTGCCGTACCCGGTGCACCAACTCCGCAGACCCGAGCACCATGACTTCCATCGGCGCGCCGATATTGTTGCTGAAATCCACGCGCACACACACGCCGTGGCATAGCGAGGGGTAGTCAGCGAGATTTCCTGCTCCCGTCGCTACCGCGTCTCACAGCCTCGCGCCGTCCATGTGCAGCTTGACAGAATGCGCATCCGCCTACATGCTGACGCGGCGGAGCTCGGATAATTAAAAGAATAACATGCCTGATGCAAGGGACCTCGAGGCCGACGACCCCGGTGGTGGATTTTTATATGTCGTCCGCGAGCACGGCATAGTGCTCGATATCTTCCAGCGTGTTATCCGTGGTGCCGTTGTTTTTCCATCAATCATTCCAGATTGGTGCCGAAAGTTCGCTTGTATATTTAGGTGTCTTAAATTTTCTAGGTGGAAAGCTAAATAGTGTTTTTACGGTTTTATAAGTATAGAAGGGTGTAGAACGGGGTAAAATTTAGCTTGTTTACTACATAAATTCCCCTTGCTGTCTTTATTGAAGTACACGTTGTAGATAACATACTGCTATGGCACCGGATATTCTGCCCACCCCACGTGATAACTTACCTGCAACTTAATATACTTTCTACCCTTAAATGACTTATATCTATATACCTTTATGAGTGCCTTTATATCCTTGGAATACTTTACTTTCGTACTCTCATAGACTACTCTAGTACTTCTATCTATTTTTACCTTTGTACTTTCTCACATGTTTGTAGTTATACCGTGGCCACTAGCCTTATAGCATAATAGTCTAATCTATATGGCTAAGTATAGTAGCTTACTTGTAGCAATATCTCTCACATCCGACTGAATTCGACTTTCCAATAACCTTGTTGAATGACCGTATGACTTAAAATATAAACGCGGCTGGATTTTAAAGAGTGGCTGGCTGCGATCTATATAAATAACAAAGCTAAACATACAAATGCTTGCATAAAAATAAAAGTAAGTGGCAAGGAGTGAAAAAACAAAAAACAAAAACAAAAACGAAACAACTTTCCCTGACAAATGCTCGGCTATCTACATGCCTGCTCTCCGCTACTCTTTTGCCAGCAGCCGAGGCTTGTTTCCGTGTAGTCTGCGGCAGGGTACTGGTCGATGTTCCTGAGATCTGCAACTGGCTTGCAACGGGCTCCCAAATCCAGTTTGTTTTTACCAATCCTCGAGTTGAGCATCTTGTCTGGGATTGCCATCTGCATGGCGTGCGGGACGTCGCCACCGTCTATTTCACTCAGTCTGAGTGTCTGAGAAGGATCAAAGTTGAAGCCCTTGATAAATTCGGTAATCTTCTCCTCATGAAACCAAATTTCTTTGTCTCTTCCCTGGTCTTTTCCCTGATATTGAGGAATGAATGCTTTTTTAGCTCGGATAAACTTTTCTTGGTTGGCCCATATAACACAAATCCTATATGACTTGTTACTACTATAGAGTTAGAAGCTTTGTGATGGGTACAAACCAATCATTCTGGCCAGGGACGTTATAATCGCCTATTTTTCGCATGATGTAGGTCCCAAGGCCAATCTGCGACCCGGCTCTGTGGGATTCTGGGCGCTTGTCCTTGGTGATTGTTCCCTTTTTGTTATATTCTTGAGCTGCAACCTAAAGAGAGTTAGCTTCGTTGTTTAATGGAAGTCATAGGGCTAACGTACAGCATTAAGAGTTCTATAGCCGACAACCCTCACATTTGGCTCAGTAACAATGAGGGGGTCGGGCTGCGGAGCATTTGTCTTGAGTGCCTGAGTCGTTGGTGTTGCAGTAGGCTTTTTGGCGGGAACAGCAGCAACGGAGCCAGCCAGGGTTAGAGCCAAAGTGATAAGCTGGGTTGTTGGGAAAAGCATGATGCCGGGAGAAAGGAGTGCGTAGTGTAGGAACTTTGAAGAGAGTGATTGTGTTGTAGAATGAGTATGTGAATGTGATGTGCTGGAGAACAATTGAAATGAGTTTTCCACAGTTATATATACCAGCTGAGTGCCCAGGAATTGAAAAGGATTGTGGAAGGAACAGAAACAGCTGCTCCGAGTTAGTTGTCATCGTTGGTAACTGGGGCGGTGCTGTGCCGTAAAGGATGTAGACCCATCAAAGGAGAATGTACAATCTGTGCCAGAGATTCCGTGGCGTATTCATTGCCCTTACAATGCGGAACGCTGTGCTTCTTGCGGCAACGACAATTTTCTATAACCCCAAAAGGCCCCGCTACACCCTGACGTGCCTACTCCTTGTACTCCATATTTAACTGTGCCTCACTCTGCAGAGCGACAGTTGGAGCTTCAGCGGCTCCATATTTAACTGTGTCTCATCTTGAAGTCTAAGAGTTGGATCATTGGCAGCGCCTCAGTGTGGGGTCCAGCGAGGCTTTTATGAGAATTTGCCGCCCAGATGCCAGTTATGGTAAAAAACAGGCGCGGTGGTGTTGTATTAGCCGCCATCCCCGCCGTGATGTTGGTATAGTGCCACGTGTGGGTGGCTCGGTTCGGGCCGGCTCCTTGTTGTTGTTGTTGCCTGTCGCAACGACCCACATATGTTCACCGAAAATTACACCGCCGCCATATCCCGACCATTCCCAAAGTCCAACGACATATTTAAATGGTCCCTATGCGCCGTCGTTGCCACAAACACATTTTCCGACAAACATGACTGAGACTCTACTATCCGTCCTCTGCAGGGATCCTTGGTGCTACGACCGCATTGACGGCCACGAAATTAGATTCAGGAACGACGGTACTGGCTACGTATGTCTACGTCTTAACTTTCTGCTTTTAAATAAAACTAATAGCTTTCAGCTTGTACTGCGTTATGAACTATCAGTGCCCATTGCTGCGGAAATCGAATGGAAGTCTCCGGCGCCTCTGAAGGAGATTAAGGTCGACATGCATGCTAAGGGACAGGAAGTTCTAGCACAGTTCGATATCGAACTGACACTCACGAAGCGTGTCATGGCAGAACCGGGAATCTATCCAAATCCTGCCTACAAGAGAAATGAGCACTTTCTAACCGAGGGCGCCTTTGTTCCAAAGAAATATACTGTCTCTATCCAAAAGGGCAAATTTTTTGCGCCTCTTCCGGAAAAGAATGCCGGTTCCTACTGGATGCCAGGCGGTCCCTTCGGCATACCTGACAAATCCTGGCAGTGTGACAGGTTCGCCCTACGTCTGACATTTGACAAGTCGCCATATCCTCCGTATGACGATTGGAAAGATTGTCCTTTGAGAAACGGCGACCCAAAGCCATGGACTTATACTGCGTTTAGCAGCTGGAAGCTACTTGGGGAGGCGGCGAGACCTACCGTCTGGAATACCGAATGCGTAGTTCAATAGCAAACCGTTTCGAGTTTTGCTTGTTTTCCTCTACAATACAAAACTGAGGTTTCGGTCATGGTTGATAACGCCTCTTTGCTTTCATGTACGGTGTGTTTGTCTGTTTACCCACGCTCGGTCGTGTATCTGCCCTGCACGGCCAAATCCAACCATTTTGCATTCTAAGCACCACACCACAGGGCCTAATTTCACTACGAACACCAAGGAGAACCATATCTAAGTTACAAAAGACAAAAGGTTCAAGCTTGAGACGGCTTGCGATAAACTCCAAGGTAATCCCTCCATATCGCCCGCAGAATTAGATTTCACCCCGCCTCTGTGGTCCGCGCGATCCCTCCACCCCTTAATAGTACGTCACCCTATTTCTGTCGTCACTCACGCTTAGAAACGGAAGATAAATATTTCTTCGAAAGATTTTAGTTGATGACTGAAAATAAAGATTCTTGATATTTCCAAACACTAGATTATTACAGTGAAGTGCAAATTCATTTTTGTGGAAGTAAATTCGGAACGCAAAATAGACTGAGGTATTGGAAGCTCCATGCTACTTGTTATCAGTTTTTAATGTTCCAGTTCTAAGTTATTACGGGGACATCTACGACTTTCCGATAACCCGTAGCCACATTACATATCAGGCGTACAACTTCCCATCGACTGGCCGATCAACTGTACTACTCGAAAAACTACAATGCCCTACCTCCTCATCTTCTACATCAATCTTCTGGTCCGGGTCTGTAAGCAGCGCATCTGGAACCGCGCCCCACATCAATGGCATGTCCTCATCCGCGCCATCCTTCGGCGGATGACAAGCAGCGGCAATTCCCAGACTACAGCTCCCCACAACGGGCATCCCGAGATCCAGCTTCCGCAAACCCATAAACACAGCGAAGATTATCACGACCGCACCCACCAGTATGGTGAAGATCATGGCCAGCGGCGAGTACCCGCACGTCGTGACGGAGTCTTCCTCGCTTGGATCGCCTCGGGGGTCCAACGTATCGATGCTGGCCAGGAAAACGCTTTCGGAAACCAGCCAGTGCAGCGTGGCAGAAAGAACCATCAGAGGGATGCTCCAGCGGTAGGGAACCTGCAGGAAGTACTTTGCGCGCTGAGCACCATGGCGGACGTGAGAGACACGCAAGCCCTTGCGGGTAGTGGAGAAGCTAGCCCATTCGGCCGCCAGCAGCATGCGCGTCACAATGTTGTTGAGAGTCAAGTACAGCCCCGACAACAGCGCTTGTGGCGTGTTGGCCACCAACACCGAGGCCAGCACCGCTGACGTACCCGTTGTTGGCAGCGCCCAGTCGTTGATCAGGTTTGATGAGGATACTTTGCCCATCCCCAAGTCCCAAAGGTTCCTCGCTGAGCCTTGGTTATAGTTTTTATTGAGTTTGTAGATGGCAAAGGCTAGGAGGCTGAGGACGGTGATAATGGATATGCCGTAACTGGGATAAGTGTCAGTAGGTATGGTACCGTGGGGTATATAAGTAAATGCTACACATACAAACAGAAGAAGTTAAGCCAGCTGGCTCTCCCAGCGGCTTCCCAGCGACGAGGTTGATGGGATGAGTACTGCTTTGGCAGTACCTGCGCATTCTGTCGCTGGCGGAACTCTTTTCTTGACGCAAGACTGTATCCTTTGCTTCGATCATCGGGAGTGCGCATGAAAGACGCTATTGCATCTCCGATGGTCAAGAGCGGCTGATCTAGCGTCATGATGCAGATAGCAGTGATACAAACCGCCTTTCCAAAGTTGAAAATGATTACCAAAATCCCAATGGAGAGGTTGAAATTAACACTGCAGAGCTCATCGGCCTTCTGAGCAACGCAGCCCGTTATGTTGAAGCCGTACACCGTTAAGTTTCCCGTATCAGCCCTCGTCTTGGCTGTGCCGTAGTCGCAGCCTGTTGTTTCTACCCGCCAGTGATCGCACATCCAGCCATAACGATCGGAGGAGTAGAGAGATTCCGAAGAACTTATCGCCAGCGGTGTGACAACCCAATGCAATGAAGAGTTGTCGGGTACGTCATACCAGTATCGGTCAATCGTATCGTATTCGGATATTCTTTTGTCCTCGTATGCACGATCGGAGAGAAGGATAAGGTTGCTGTAGCCAACTATGTAAGGCATTGCATAGGTGTCGAAGCATGTCTGAATATCTAAGCGTTCGAATGCGGACGAGTTATGCATCACTGTTGATTGAATTGACCCAGGATCCGTTTGGTATTGCGCGTAGGTCATCTCAGAATAGTTCCGGGAGGTGTTTGTAAGTTCGCGGCCAATGTGACTGGAAGGAAGAAGGTTGGACGCATACCAGCCGCCATTCAGCCAGTCCTCGGATGCGAAATAGAGATCGTAGTTGTGGTTCAAGGTTGACTGATAGAACATGGAGTTGTAGAAGAGATGGAGCGGCACCGACGAGATGCCTAGGCAGATCCACAAACATAGTTTGAATGGGTGGAGGGATTTCAAGTTGCGTATGCTTTGTACACCAATATCCATCCATCGGCCTTTTTGGTGCACGGCTTCGATCTCGCTCCGGGTCGGTGCACAGAGGCACTGCATGGCGTAGTTGCTTGCGCCCAAGAGAAGTGTACTCAAAACGTTGATCGTTAGATGGATTGCCGTATTCAGACGCTGTGCTGTCACGCAATTCCCCTGGAAAATGTGGCCTCCGTTTTTGGTCTTTGTAGCTCCCCAGATGGTCAAGCCAAAATTGAGTAGCAAGACAACGTAGGCAGTGAAGGCACCAAGCGAAGCGCCAAATCGCCAACCCTCAAAGGAGAAGAAGCTGCGAGTAGATTTGCGTGGCACACTGCCATCTTGTTCTGCTCGACCGCTCAGGTCTGTGAGATCGACGGTCGAGGCTGAGCCCAATTGAGCGTACGCTCTATATCATTTGTAAGCCACAATACCCTAAACATCAGCACAAGTGCTCTTACCCGGATTTGAAGTCATGCATCACCCTATGTTCGGTTGGATGCAACCTCGTGCTTGGCGTAAGACATGAAGTATTGGGAGACGACTCTCCTTTTCTTGCGAACGCGTCAATCGAATCCCTAGGCGCCCCACGTGTGGGGTGTGGGGGCGGAGCACAAATCTACTACGTAGTACGTAGACGTACCGAAGAAGCTTAGCGTTGATCTGCATGTCTCTGATGATCACTGGAAACTCCGAAAGATCTCCCCAAAAAGATAGTTATACAGATATATGATTATTATTCGGATTTTGATCAGCGAAAGAACAGATCTGGCGAGCTAATTAGATCAAAACAATTTACTATTCATGACTGATATTGTTCTGTAATATGCGGCTACTCTCAATATCTGGCACGTGGTCCCCATGATCCATGTAGAATCAATGGATAATGTGACTTGCTCTGTCACGTGCTAGATGAGCAGAAATCGAATGCTAATTAAACAGTTTACATACGGATCGCGAGATAAAACCATGCAAAGAGTGTCAGTGTATAAAGGTATTTAAGATAGTTTAGTACCAACCTTCAAATATCCCAATACACCAGTACAATGCACGTGACGAGACATGGCATGACCCCTCGTCTACGCAGTACGCTCTCACCTCCTTATCAACAACTTCTTCATTGGCGAAATGGAACTTTTAGATCATCTTATTCACAATACCGACCTCGGCGACGACTTGGGCGATGGCTCCCCGCTGGACAACGGCCGTCATACCATAGCGCCCCAACACAACCTCGGCGCGCTTGAAAGTTGAGACGCTGCCTCTTGAGTTAATGCACGCGTTCCTTGCTTAGCTCGACTTGCGCACTTTGACGGACTTTCGGTGTGTGAACCAGAGAGCTATGCAAGTCGTGGACTCCATCTTTCCGTACAATGCCATCATCAAGCACGTACGCAATGCGCTGCGCGGGATCCTCAGCATCGAAACGGGCCGTTGGATCACCTGCGAGGCGCTCTTTGAGACGCTATGCACGCCGCAATGCGAGAGTTGTGGTGCCTTTGGCGGATACCTCTATCTGATCACGTGTAAGCGCGTCTGCTATCGCTGCTAAACCAGCTTCGTTACTCCGCTATTGTTCGTGCGCCGATGTTGGACATCAAGACGTTGGCAGCGGTTTGGGAAACGAGACTTTTCTAGTAGGGTGTCTGTACTCGGCAGAGACGTACAAAAATCATTTAAGCGAGTACGGGAGCATTCATCGTGACCGGCATACGCGTAAATGACCATTATGTACACGGCTTCAGTAGTGACGACGAGAAATCAACCACCTTCGAAAACTAGAGCCGTAGCCACTTCCTCCAATCCATACACACTCATTCCTTTTCACCTCGCGTTCATGCTTTCTCCACCCTGACAAACATCCTGCTCCCATTTTCGTTCTCTGAGAGACGAACTTCCATACTTTTCGCTTGTTGGATCATGTCTTTCTGGCTCTCTGCGCTTATCTCCGATTCATCCCATCCTTGTAATCCATGGAACAAGAACGGGACCAGGCACGACTTCCAAAGAGGTGTGTTGCGTTTTGTGCCTTGGAGCGTTGCGAGAACGAACAGGACAATTGTGAGGAAGACGAGTGAGCCGGGTAAGATGAGCCAACACCAACGGATGACGATATATGTCTCGGGATAAAATGCTGTGCCGTTGACTAAAGTCGAATTAGCAGAGGCTAATCCCATCCGGTGCGACACATTTTCTGTCATATCGGTGATGGTCTGCGGTACGTTATCGTTGAAAATAATGGCTTGGCTGATTCGGTACACCGCAGACTCTGGATAAGACTCGAATATACCCTGTAGTTTATTTCTTAAGAGCGCCATATCCCACCATCCAATATCGATAGTTTTGTTGTAGTTTGTTGTAGTATCTGATGTTCCGTTTTCTGGTAAGAAAAAGAAGTCAGAAATATACTGGGGATACTCATAAACAATTCCGCCCGATTCATAGTTCAAAGCTACATCATGTACAACCGGTGTATATATAGAGCCATTGACCTGACTGGGAGTTAGCAGGCATGTCCTATAGGTTACATTTTTAAGCAACACCTACAACATGGACCTTTTCGTAAGTTTTTAAACACCAGAAAAACTGACATTCAGTTACGGTTGTATTAAGTTGTGGGCAGCTGTCTAGTAGGAGCTCCCCGTCGTCGAAAATGTCGTCTTCACTAACGCTTACTTGAGCAAACGCTGATTCGGAGATATTTACTGACCCTGAGAGTAGTGATTCAGGAACGGTCGAGTTGGTGTTTGCCAAATTGTAGACGGAGAAAGTAAGGGGCTCGCCTGGATCCGGCGTATAGCTCTCAACCCTAATAGTGATTGAGACGTTCTTTGGTGTTTTATACGTATTGTTGATATTAATCATTCCTCTAGGACTCAGCGGCAATGGTGGCCAAGATGAACAATCGTTATTAATCATCCCGTCTGTGTCTATACTTGAGGTGCAAATTCTCGCAGAGTCTCTAGAGGATTGATTTAGACTGAATTCCATCGAGCATGAGAGGGTGGTCTGTTTTGTGACATTTTTGCACGAGTTGCAAAGCCCTAAGGACGTGAAGGATGGCCACGTGCAATTGCCACTGGGACACGAGAATGGTAAAAGCGACGTTGAGCCAAGAAGGCCACTAATGAGAGAAGATTCTATTTCTTCTCGATTGAATCCCGGTGTATCTAATTTAAAAAATAAATTGTTAAAGTGGTTAGCCTTACATTAGATTGGGTTGAGATAGACGGCTTACTGTACTTGCCACTCTTTTCAGTATTGTAAGAATGGGTAACAGGTATCGTAGCAATATGGCCTTGTCGAGGCACGTAGCGTTCTTGCAAAGAAACAACTTGTTGTCCGAATGGTTCAAGTGCAATTGCCACAACTGTGATGATTACACCTACCGTGGTAAGTAGCTCCCGGTCTCTCATAAAGCATATAAACAAGACCGAGCCCCACGGGCCTCGACTAGCTCCATCGAAGTACTGGAGCTCGTATATCTGGCGGCTTTTTGTTTCAAAATATGACCATTTTAGTTGGCTGATAATCTCGGATACGACAAAGATCATTGTAGCTTTCATGGTAGTAATGAATATCGAAATGAGTGTGCTTGGTTGTATAGGCAAATGAAAGTTGGATAGCGGTTTGTCACTAACGGTTAGGAGTACGGCAGCGATGGCAACTGTACAGAGGATGCTGACAACGATGCTGCCGAGTTCCCAAAGCCAGTCGTTTCGAATTGTGCTAATCCATGATTTCGAACGGTCATTCCGGGAGCAGGTTTTCTGAGGAAAGGCAGGCCCTGGGCGGTCTTCCTTATCTGTTGTTGCCATTGATGCAGATTCCTCTGCCTGAGCATTGGAAATTTGATCTGAATCATGACTTGAGGTTTCTGGCACAGTCCTCCGCAAAAGGTGTTGAGTTGAGTCGTGCCCTTGTGGTGGATTCCAAGAGGATACTGAAGATCTGCTTTCGCGAGTGCCATTTCTGGCCGAAGATGAGAGAGGCCGAAGCATGAAGTGGTCAGACTCTAGCGTCGATATGCCTGATCTCTCCTCAGGAGATGCATGACTTTCAGGCATTATGATTCTTTGAAACGGTCGGAAGTATGTGAGCAAGATTTGAGAAAACAAGTAGGCATGAACAGGAAGAGATTGGAAATCGGAAGGGACAAAGCAAGATATTTAATTTTATCACTGATCCGGGAGGACCTACGCAATACTTTTCAGCTCGCTTCTGATCCACTGCAGCGGCATGTCAGACCGGCTCCACAGATACGGCGTAGATGCATGACTGCCTGATCCAAGAAAAGCAATGGCAAGCTGGCTGAAGCAGCAATGTCGAACCGATTTAGGAACTAAACTGTCCATCCCATGTAAGAGTCTGCTCAATTCAGCCCTGCATGCGTGTTTTGTGCGTGGATGTCCCGAATTAAAGCTATCCTTTACGGATTTGTATCCACTTAGCATATTGGCTGCAAGATTACGTGGCTGACGTGCAGTCATTGAACCTTGTAGTTCTTAGATGCGAATACTGAGGAGCTTGTGTACCACTTGAAATACTTATGGCAGTGATACAGACCAGATACAAACGGCATATTTTTATCAGTGGAAGTCCGTTTGTTTTCCATTTCCCTCCAGATTGTTTGAGGTTTTGAAATGTTTTGTTGCTTGCTTTGCTTGTTGCTCGTATTAGTGACCCACTGTTTCCATTACAAAAGGTAGACGATCGTCACGACGATCATCGCCCCCGTAGACACGGCGCGCGAATTCCGTATGCGCCTAAGAAAAAGAGCACAGCTTACATTGGGTAAATGGTTGCTCAGATGTTTTGCAAAGTGAAGATGAAGCCGAAGAAATTTTTCGATCGGCTTCTGCCTAACTGCTCGGCCTCGCTTAGCTCTTTGAATAAGGTATGCAGTGAGCATGCGACTTTCACGGGATAGACAAGGGCGGAGGAACTGGTAGTTGGACGTTAGCGATCCGGGTAGCAACTCGGTAATTTTGGCCTCGCGCTCGCTTGCGCTCAACACAGGTCCTATGGCACAGGAATTGCTCTGCGCAGAGCCGAAACATCCTCCATGTCCTTGTACCTCATCTTTCCTCATGGTAATTGTGTCACGCGGGTCTCCACTGCCACTGAGCCGCAACCGCCCCACTGTGGAGCATCGCCACGCCGCAAACCTGAACGCTTTTAAGCAGCATGCCAGAGGTGCCCACGCCCAGCGACACGCAAGCCAGCAACGGCTTCCGGTTTGAAAAATGCTTCCAATGGCCGGAGAACCCACCCAAACTCACGAACACCCCGGCTCCTCAGACAACGAGCCAGCACACGATCCCCCAAAGAAGGGCGTCCGCGGCCCCATCAACACGGCCAAGAAACATCCCAAAACCCTCGCCCTCTGTTATCTGCTGGCCTGGTGATCCACCTCGCGATATATGCGCTCGAGCTTTCGGTGCGCGGTATCCCGGACCTGGTTATGCAATTCTGCCATTTGAGCGCTGGACCGGTGGCCGTCAAGTTCTTGATGCAGTGCGCGCAGGAGCCGGACGGGTTTGATCCGCTGCTGAACGTTGGAGTCGTTGTACTGCCTTGGGTGGCTGCGCGGTGGGTGGTGGTGAAGAGGCTGTGAGGAGCTAGAGCGACAAAAATAGAATTGGCTGCTCAGCCTTGTGCGACCTTTACATACCCCGCATCCCTACCCACTCATCACTCATCTCCGTCCTCAGCCTCACGCCCAAAAGTGCATCCGTCATCCAGCCTATCCTGTCTCGTTTCTCTTTGCACCATTGCTTCCGCCTTGGAACGACAGTTTCCACGATTTCAATCGCCTTTCTCTCGGTCGGCACGAGCCCGATCTGGCTCCAGACAATGCCATGACAGCTCATCATGCCGGGCTATCCGAACGTCGTATGACCACAACGTGGGAAGAAAAGGCTCTGTGACATCCAACCGTAATTGAACGCGCCACCTTTCCCAGTCTTCTGAAGCCTACGCCTCCTCCGAAACACCGTACGCCATCACCCGTTTCCATCTGCACTTGCATGACCTTCAGCCGACCGGCCAAATGTTTGGGGTACCGAAGCCCTGATGCATGGTACTTAACTACCTGCCATCCGAAAGACAAGGCTACTATGTCACAAAAACAAGCTTCTACGTGGAGCACCGATGGAGATTAAGATGGTTTCGAGTTATTGAGTATCGCTATCTGCACGATCGGCATTGGACTTTTTCTATAAGCATAAGACAGGAATAAGTGTCTAAAACTAACAATGACCATTGGGATCAGGTTGCTTATGTATGCAGCCATGCTGACGCGTACCCATGGAGCCAGGGCCCAGACCTAGTCTAGCTCCGATATTGCTCATTGGGAAAGCGCATATTTGTGTCTTGGTGGCACTGTACGACGGCAAGGCTGACATCTACCACAAGGCTGAGATTTTGAGAACTTAAACCAACCTCAGCCTCTCTTTCCTTCCCTAAAAGCTCAACAGCAAATCACGCAGAACCGCGAAGATTTCGTACGCAGCAAAATGAATCGCCGGCTTTCCGCATCCGGTCAACCGCGCCCGGAATACTACAACGAGGAGCACGAACTCGAAGAACCCCCATCACATGACACCCAAGACTCTAGGCCCCACAACCTGCGAGGAGCTAGTTAATCTTCAAGTGCCGGCGCAACACTCCTTAATCATTCGATGTCAGGACTGGACGTCAACGAGGAGGAGACCCGAAACGGCGAGACTGATCTTTTGAGTCTGAAAACCTCGAGCAACGCCAGACCGAAACACCGTAGAAGGCGTTGGGTCAAAGAGTGGTGGTTTTGGGAGATAGGAGGATGCTTCCTGAGTGTTGGGTGCATGGTTACCATCATTGTCCTACTTCGATTTGACGAAAAACCACGAAGCCAATGGAAGTTAAGCATCAGCCCGAACACCCTGGTTTCAACCTTAACTACGATTGCAAAGACGGCTTTGCTGCTTCCAGTTGCAGAATGCCTGACGCAGCTGAAGTGGCGGCATTTCTCGCTTCAAAGCCATCCTCTGGCAGACGTTGAAAGCTTTGACGCAGCTAGCAGAGGCCCGTGGGGAGCCTTCGTCTTCCCATGGAAAACTAAGCTTAAGTCCCGTATCGCATTGATGGGCGCACTCATCGTGGCTGGGTCTCTCACCATGGAACCGCTGGGCCAGGTGGCCGTGTCGTACAGGTCACAGCTTGTGTTTCCGCCAGCCAACGATGTCAAGAACGAAAACAGAAGTGGTATCTTCGTCGCCCAAGCCTACAATACTGGAGCCCGAGAGTACTCGGTCGAGCTATACGATCGTAAGTTAAAGATCCTGTCACAATGGCTAGGAAACTAATTCGGGTTGAAACTGAAGCATTTATGGCACCTTCAAACATGCAAAGCGCATTTTTCGAGGGGATATTTGGCATGGGACGAGAGATGCCTCTAAACTGCGTCAACGGAAACTGCACTTGGCCAGAGTTCGTAACCCTTGGCGTATGCAGTAGTTGCCAGGACGTTACCAGCGCCTACCAACCTACAAAGAAGTCATGCAACGGAACAAACGACAGTCAAACTTGCGTATACAATGACTACGAAGAGATCGGAAGGCAATTTGGCGACTCATACCAGATTACTACAGGAAACGAAACACGAAATACTCTAATCAAGGGCATTTCCAGCCTGTCCAATGATACCAGGCTTATAGCAAGCTTTATACTCGGACGGTTTGAACAATACAGCAATTTCTCAGACGAAGACAGGGATGGGTTCCTAGACCTGGTAAAAAGTGCTCCAGAGCTCACACAATGTAACATCAGCTGGTGCGCTGAGCTCTACCAAAACTTCACATACCAGAATGTGAGCTCATTGTTTTCTCTGGAAAGACAGAAAAAACTTGTTTACTGACATATAACACATAGAGCACCAAGTATTCGGATCGGTATAAGAAGCCGTACAACTACACTCGCTATTACCTGCCTCTCGCACCTCAAGACGTAAATCCGCAGTCAATAACCTCGGTATTTAAAATCGACATCAACAACATCAACAATCCGGCCTTGCATGTCACGGAGAAGAACATGACCGAGATCTACAACAACACGTTTGGGGAAACTTTCGAAGGTCAAGTCTTTGAAGTAAATAAATACGACCACCTCGCCATATCCAGCTTCCTCCGCGACGCACTCAACTTCGAGCTAGCCAACGAGAACTATACGAAGGAAAACAGGTTCGACCGCTTCCTTGGCCGCGCATTCCAACAGACCTTAAGTGTCACTCGTGCATTCGAAACCGTGGCGCGCAGCATGTCTATCGAGGCATGGCAAACGCAAGACGTGCAGCTGGGCGACGTAGGGTTCTTCGTCGACGCCCAGACGGTTGTGGCAGAGACGTAAATCATCATCCAGAAGCGATGGCTGACGGTGCCGTGCTTGCTGGTGCTCCTGAGCGTCGTTTTCCTCGGGACTACGCTTCTCGTCAATCTGCGCGACGATACGCCGTCTTGGAAATCCGAAGCGCTCCCGTTGCTCTTTCATGGGTTAGAGGGCTGGGAGGATTTCGATGGAGAGGAATTGAGGGAGATGCAGGCGCATGCTGGGGAGATGCAAGCGAGACTGGGCAGGAATGAGAGGGGCGTCTTGAAGTTTTTGAGGGGTTAATGATGGGTTTGCTCTTACTGGACGGCGACTTTGACTCACGATGCGGATCCCATCCAATCCACAAACAACAGAGACATCTTCAGAAATAAAATTTCAACAACAGGCCAAAGCAGACAGGTCGATGGACACGCGTCAAATGTACTCCTTATCCATCTTTACGCTTAGTAGCCGGCCAACTGACGTACCGACATGCCGAAACATGGTTGGTGTAGGGCCAGAAATCAGATGTACACCAGACAAACGGTCCAGAAAACTGTGAGGTACAGAATCTGAGGTACGCGCATCTCGATCCAGGTGATGGTGTAAGGTAAGGCCTGTTTGAATTGCCGTTGAAAGAGGGGTTTGCACAGAAGCAAGATCATTGAGGACCAGATTTTCAGGGTTGACGAAACCACGCCGGCAGTGGCGTTGGTTCCTTTCGCGGAGCTTGCGTTTCTCCACATAGCCTCGTCGCGAGAGAGTGTTTCGACGATGTCCGCGCAGTGGAGGCCGAGGACGATAATCCACTGGGTTAAAAAGCTGAAAAGGATGGGGACGTAAGATTCCTGCAGGTTACCTGTTGAGTATATTTGTCTATTGACTGTCGCGCAAGGTTTGTCTATGCCCAACATGGTGGGCGGCGAGTGAAGTAAGTCTATTAAGCAAGAGCCGGAGAGGCGTTTAGTCGGTGCCTTGAAGTCTCCCTTGGCTCCTTTTCGCGCTCACGCTCGCTGGTCACGTTCTTACTCATTTCTGTCTTAGAGTCTGGCATGATATTGAGGAAATTAAAGCCGTTTTACCTCTGATATTTACAAAGTCCCCTGGCCCGCGCCGCCAGCCATCTGATATGTAGCAGTAAAAAGGCCACGCTGTGGTAGGGCGCGGCTAGGTATGTATCTCTGCATCCCTGGTTCTCGGCATCCCCCGCGTCTTTGTGAGAATTCCTGGGGGAGCTTAGGGAATCACGCGCATATCCGTGTCCACCGCGGCTTCGATCGAAATTCCCGCGAAGCTAAAAGAGTTTAGCGTGCAACCGCGAACCCCTCCGCCATCACCGGTGCCCGTTTCCCGTTTCTAGCCACCCTGCCGCTTGCGGCCCGCGAAGCACGTATCAGCCCTGAGAACATGGTTCCTGGTTCCTGCCATGGCAGTAAGAAGCTGTCAACCGTAGCATAAAAATGTCCGGTGTCTACACTGATGGGTCGAGCCTATTCGCCCCCCCCTTAAATATCTATCCGCCCCCCTCCACCTACCGCTTACCTAATTAGGTAATTATCTAGTAGAAAGTTAACTTCGGCGTAACCCAATCGCGCTATTCGCTCGCGACGCCCCGTAAAGACGCGCTAGTAGAAAATAGAAACTAGTACCTCTTATTTTATACTAAAAATTAATTAAAACTTCTATATTTCTAACCTCGCTGTTACAGCACGATAGATAGGGAGGTATATATTATAAACGTTACTTTTTCGCGTACGCAAGTACTCCCGGATCCTCCTCCGCCGTCTTCCCGCTCTATTACGTATAAGTAGCTTAGGTAGCTTAGGTAGCCGCGAAGAGGTATTATACGAAGATATAAAGTTATAAAGTCGCGGAGTCGCTTTCTACCGGACGCTTTACCCGATTAGGTAAGCGGTAGGTAGAGGGGGGGGGGATAGACATTTGAGGGGGGGCGAATAGGCTCGACCACACTGATGCATATGACGTAAGAGGAACCTCGGCTTGTGGCGGTGTTGCTTTGGTCCAGGATGTGCACTGTATGCTTTGACAGGTGCACTCGCATCCTGACTGGATCTCTGACCATGAATCAGGTATTCCCAACAGGTCACTGTCAACGCCACGTTCTCTAACGGTAACCCCCCAACAGCCACCATAAGGCGTCGGCCAAGGCAGACGCGCGCCGCCGCCTGGTGACCACATTTACAGACCTGTTGGGGCTACGACCGGGCTACGATTATTCTTGGAGTAACCCGTTTACCACTTCTCTTCCCCGATTCTTGCTACAGACAGATTGGGTCAGATGCTCACATGAACGTGAACGTGCTCATCAATGGCTGTAGGCATTAATGCCCGCGGAGGTAGGGGCGTGGATACGCGACCACCTTGAGGCCCCTTCAAAGCGCCAGGGCGTGTCGGAGTGAGCCGTCTTACTACATACGTAATGAAGCTGGCGGCTCGACCCCGCTCTCCTGCCCTTCGAATGAATTTCGCACTAGCATCCCAACGCTTTTGGCGGCCTGTATGCCTTGCAGCGTCCATGTGCCATCGTTCTGATGTGCTTCGATGAAGAAGTCGTGCGCAAAGCTAACGGTATCGTAGGGCAATTGCCAAAGAGCATAGAGTAAAGCATATAAAGACCTGTAGTCGACGCTGTGATCAATATGTTCGCTTTCATAGCCCTCCCATCAGTTTCCTAGTGACCAATTGCCACTTGTGCACTTTTATTTACCTCTACCAACCACACCAAAGCTAGGTCATAATGGTGTTGGGATTTGGTGGATTTTTATCCCTGGATGACGGCAACTACCGCAAACAACTCAACACCCGGACCATCAGGGCCCTGCAAGTGCAGGAAAAAACCAAGCTCCGCAGGACTTTCACAGGACCTTTAAATGTTGCAGCAAACATCGTTGGTGCGCCTTTCACTTCCGGCTTTACACTCGTCCTGTCAGCCATTGCAGCACGCAAATGGCGCGTCGCGGAGCGCAAACTCGTCCTTATTCGCGAGGAGCTGTCCAGGCGCCAGGTACCACTGCACGAGACTGACTGGAAGGATATCTTCGTACCTTTGATTGCATTCGTGACCACTACATTCGTGGGCGATGGCCTTAGTGAGGCCCTGGGTGCGCTCGGCGACATTGCCACCAATGTCTCTGGGAACTGTCTTGGGATCAACGACATCATCAATCACCTTCCAGCAGTTGTTCAAGGACTTGGCGAAGGAATTGCTACTCAGTTTGAGCACCTGATACCTGCGGTACAGGACGCCATGAACCACGGCGAGGCCCATGTCCACTACAATGGTGCTGATGCCGCCGCCGAGCTGGGCGCACAGCAGCTGGGTGAACAGGCAGCAACAGCCCTCCAAGCAGGTCTCTGTGCACAGCTGGTTTCAGAGCTCTTGTCGTGGACCATAGAGCACTTCGAGAACCCGGAATGGCACACTAGGGCCTCTCAATCGCTTGGATGCAGGCGGTACTTAGGAGCTGAATGGCTCGAATGCAACGTTTGTCAGGCACCTATCATTGTTGGGACTTTCAAGCGTAGGTGCATCTATCCCTCCGACACATCATTCTCTAACTTTGCTACAGATTGTTGCAAATGCGCCGACGACAATTTCGATTTATGCATGGATTGCTTTCAAGACTTCTATGGTTGCGGTTGCATTGAAAATACTTTTGTAACTCTTCAGGTGGCTTACCCAGGAGTTCTCGACCATTTGGTGTGCCGCCAAACTTTTGAACGGTTCGAAAAACAGTCGTTCCTCAAATGCACCATATGTGGGAATGATATTTGTCAAGGGAAATACTATCGTAAGTCCCTTGGTGTACTTGTCTATGTGCGGTCGTGGCTAATCGAGAAGAATGTTTTGCGTGCAAACCTGGATCTGCGTTTGATATCTGTTTCGACTGCTTCAAGAGTGGACGCCATTGCCAGGACCCGGAGAACCACGCACTCTATTCTTTCGTGTGGGCTTCAGCCCCTGGTAAGTTTGCCCGGAACCCATACGAAGCTTCATCCAAAAAGGGTCTCGCCAAATGCACCAAGTGTCGGGAGTCGATTCGGCGTGGGGCCTTCTATCGTAAGTTTCTCTTTAACTTTTTCTACATCGGAAGACTCACTCTGCACTCATTTATCCAAGACTGCGACAAATGCGAGGAAGGAGAGTTCGACCTATGCCACGGTTGCTACGAAAGTGGCAGTGCATGCAAGGACACAACACACATTCTGTCACGTTTTCTTGCTTTCGGACGGAATGGCTGGAAAGGTTTCGCTAAAGGATCTTTCTGTAACGTCCCAGACTGCCTCAAGCTTCTCGAAAGTGAGAAAGTAGGTTATACTTGCTCTACTTGCGGTCATGGGCTCTTCAACGAATACGTGGTCTGCTACTCTTGTTATAGTAATGGTTTTGGTTGCTTGGATCGGACCCATACGTTAACTAAGCGGAGGGCACCGTAGAAAGGCTTGGGATTTGCGTTTTCGTATACCGCTCTCAGATTGCCGGCTGTAGCTATATATCCTGGATGTCGATATTATTATATGTACCTACGGTTCTTTTTATTGCTTTTTACGATACTTTTCAGACTATGTATAGCTGTGGAGTTAGTAGCTTTGAGATATGTATATGCCTAAATCATTTTTGATAGGATATCATACACCTAAGAAAGAAATAGGAGCAGAACCCTAAGCTTTAGAGTTAAAGTAAGTAGATAGTCGTTTTGAAGACGAGCGCTTACGTAGGGGCTGTTACACAAAACGCTAGACGTCGCTGGTTAGGTACAAACTTAATCATACACACAAGTCCCATGCAATCATGCTGGGGTCTTCCCTATGGCATCTTGCGCAATAATCCCAGCACACATATTCGTTCTTGCAACGGCCAAGACTGCGTACCAATTCGGTCGTGTAGCAGCTTAGCGAGCACAGCAATTAGAAGCTTTTTATAGCAACATTCGGAATACTTTATACCAATACACAGCTCACCGTAGGTTAATAATGTTTTTATTTTATTTTAAAACCCGGTGGTATATATAGGGTGTAGTTAAGGTTTAAGTCTGATAGTGTAAACTTAAAATGAATGAGATTAAGAAGGCTCTCTTGGATGATCGCTTCTTATGTTGTTTGTCAAGAGAGAACCCGAAGAAGCCCGAGAAGAACTTTGATTGGTGCGCACGTTGGGGGATCAGGCTCACACATGCGTCCAGGACGTTACACTTACAGCAGAAGTCTGACGCCACGTGTCGATCCAGGAAAGAAGAGATTTTTACTCCCCTGCAGGTACGGCACACACTGGATATATATGATGCGCATTCGTCTCCAAAATCATTCCCAGCTTGATGTAGCCCCCAGATTCCGGCTTCACGACGTTCCTGTTATAATCATGGATGATCAAACACTCGTCAACTTCAGAGAATTCACAGCATTGGCGCATCTTTTGTCGCTTCGCATTACCGACACCATTGAACCTCTATCCGCTGATAACATTGAGAATGCAGAGAATGTTGACGACAGTGATTCGGAAGCCTCAATAGACATAACGCGACCAGAGGCCTTGGCCACTTCTCAAAGTGACAAGATTTGCAGACGCTTCTTGAATCGACTCTCAGAAACATTGGCTATTGACAAGCATGGTCGCTTTGTCGCAGCAGCAGCATTGCGAGAAGATGAAAAAGAAAATCGGGTGGATATCTGGGTGGCTGGTTTCAAGCAAGATGAGGATCGTAAGATGCTCAGTGCACTCGACAAAGGGATGAATTCGGCTGCCAATTCCAATAGTTCGGAAAGTAAGTATCTGTACTGCAACATTGGATCACTCGCTAACTTACGTGGACAGATTCTTCCAGGGATGCTGAAAATCTTTGGAGCACAATGCTGCTTTATTCTAGACCGCGGACCGAGAACTATCGAAAAGACCTGAAAAGTCTCTTTCAACAACACCGGAAATCGATAACAAAGGCGTTGTCTAAGAACTCCGAAAAATCGCCCGAGGTTGCCAAAATGCTTCAAAACGTTATTTCTGAAGTAAATGGGCGCCCCCATAATACCAGGAAAAACAAATCTGTGGACAAAAAGCTGGACAATGTTGTGGTTTCAGCTTTCAAAGCAAGGGAGTCCATGACTGCCGAAACGTTAAACTCAATGTTGGAAGAGACAACCTTGGCTGAAAAGATTTACTCTGGAATCTGCTTTCTTGGACGACTTCGAGCTGCGTATGAAACCTTCATGACAATCTGTTTCACGACATGGTGTGGCTACCGAGTCCAGGTTCAGCCGATTTCAAAATTCAATCCGGCCAGGACCCCCGGGAAATCTCTCATTTTGGCTGAAACGTTGAACCTCCTTGACCTACCTCTGAGTGATGAGATTTTAAAAGCCCATGTCAGGAAAAAGGGGTTTAAACAGCGGACAGCCGTGTCGAAGTTCGACAAACTACAGATTCAGAATTTCTATGTCCATGCGGAAGTCCAATTACTTTTCTACCTTCGGAAGACAAACATCAACGACTGTTTTCCTTACATCGGCAGTAGTAAGCTAAATTGCTTCCTTTGCGCCGAATTTCTGAAAGCATTTGGTGGATTTCAAACCCGAGGCTGCCACGGCCATCTATATTCCAAATGGCTCATTCCCCAAACAGCGGAATACCCGGAGAATATTGAAGAGGTCCATTCCGCTCTGAGGAAGGTTGAGGATGAAGTAAGAAGACAACTGCTCACGCCTACCATGAAGAGAAAACCGGCCAAAGCCGAGTCAACAATTGGCTTAACAGAAACCTCTACAATGCCCAACCCGCTCGGATCCCAGAGCAACACACTGGTGCAGGAGTATCTTCGCAACCGAATACAAGAGACAGAGCAGCAGATGTTCCTAGATAAACTCAATCTTCGGAGTAATCACAAACGGGAGCAGGAAGATGCATGTTCCGTTTACGATGAACAGGCGGAAACAGAAGACTACGCGCACTCCGGCGACGAGAGTCCAGTGCACGGTGAATGCGAGGGCGGCTGCTACAGAGAGACCTCACGAAGATGCAGCATGTGTGGTAGCGGTTTGTTCTGTTCGACTAGTTGCGAGTCGAAAAGGTCTTCCCGTCACTTATTCAGATGTAACTTACGCCCGCTGACAACTGCTGATTACCTTTACCGTGATGTTATTCGTGATGAAATGCCAAAGGATCCGGATGTTTTGGCCGACTTCGGATTTAGCAGGCTCCCTCGAAAAGACTATTTCAAACTGCTTGGCCTCTACCAAGGCCTGATGAAACATCTCAAAGTTACCGTTAAGGAGCTTCATCAGTGGCAGCAAGCTGAAACCATCCCCGAGGATACTATGAGGATATTTTCTGGGGTTCCTGAGAAGGCGAGAGGTGGATATTATCCGTGGTTCATGAAAAATCATCAGCGGATTTTTGGCTCCGAGCCTGCTGACACAAAACCGGGTATGGAAAGCGAAAGCCTCATTTGGGAGCTTTGCAAAAATATAAGGACGCACTTAGAGCCCCACGACGCTGGGAAGACCTTTGAAGACCTGAAAACTGACACAAAAAAAGAGGCTTTCTGTCAGCCAGGATCACTCCGATAACTCTCGTTTATCAGCCTCATTATTTAGTTGTTACACAACAGCCTTACCCCTGCACTACTCATTTACCACTACTAAAGAGAAAACGTATTCTTTTAGATAGCAGCATATATACCTCTATAGGTAATAGTAATCTAGAAGGATAAGCGGCGTCTAATTCCTCGCGTCTAGCTTTATAGTTATAAGCCCGGAATCGCATCCTTTTGCGCCTATTCCCTTTAAGATTAATCTTTAATTAAATCTTATCGGTTTACTCGCTTAATAAGCTAGTATAATATTTGTTTTATACGGCGGAAGGCTATCTATACTATTTCGAATATAGCTAAGTCTATAAAGAGATTAGTCGTCCTTAATAAGCCCTTAGATTAGGATAACTAGCTATACCTTATACGGTCGCGTGCAATAGCACTACGTATTTAGGAAGTAGTTAATCTATCTAAGTCTACTAAACCAGATTAACTTTAAGAACCTACGCTACCATCTTTACCTACTTTAGGAGAGGCAAATAGCTAGGTATAATTTCAAACTAAATTCACTATCTTTCGTATTAGACTATCAGGCCATGTTTCTTTATATATTATCCTCTATATTCACTTTACTTTTTCGTTATTTTAACACCCTACTATCCCCTGCTACTTTCTACTAGCGAGCACATAACTACTCTACCTCTTTATATATATAAAGCTCGCTGCCAGCTACTTATTTACAATCAAGCCGCGTTCTCTCTTCACTCGCACGGTTTCAACCATTTAACCTAATAGTTATAAGCCCGGATTCCGCATCTATTTTTTAAGTCTTACTTATAAGACTATCTTTTTTTTTAATACTTACAAATAGTATTACCTTACGCAGTCTCTTCCTACTAAATCTTTTACCTAAATCTCTAGGAACAATACCTACGCAATAGTATATAAATATTTCTTATCAAATCAATTTATTATATCCGATTCTAAAAGGTCACTAATTCTTTAAAAGTCAGCTAACTAGGATAAGTAGATCTACTTAGTCCGTTCGCGGGCTATTACCTCAGATCTTTAGGAATTTATAGACCCCTCTAAATCTACGAAACTATCTTAATTTCTAAAACCAATTAAACCTACACTATAATACGAGCAGGATAATTTAATTATACCTAAAAACTAGGCTTAATTTAATAACGCTTTTACAAGCTATAGAGCTAACCTCTCTTAATACCTTCAGTATAAGAAGGCTCTCTTAGATCTCAACAATTTTATTTAAGAATCTATCTTAATCGATTATCTTTCTCTCCTATCAACAGTAGAAACACATCCATAGGATATTCTTAGAATACTCTAGCAAAGACTTACACTAACAGACACAGCAAGACAACTCGAACTAGAACAACAATACCATTAACTCTACAAAGGACTAGGGAATTAAGACACTAAAATATAGATCTAACAATAGGAAAAGGTTTATACTAGCGGAAAAGCTAATAAACTCGCAGAAATCATAGGAGATAGACCGTTAAGAGACTTTCTTCTCGCTCTTAAATCAACAGATCCTTAATTCGTATTAACGCGACTTACTCTTTCCCTTTAAACTAAAGAATAGCCTAATTTCTTTACAACAGTAGAAAGTTATAGGCAGTACTTAAGAATCTAAGCACTACAGAAACTATAAAGGCAATCAACTTATTCCGCATTCTCCTCTACTTTCAAAGGAGAAAGACAATTTTAATTCCTACCCTATATCTACGGAAGAAACCATAACTACAGCTACTATTTCTACCTAAATCTAGGAAGATAAAGATCATCTACATAGAAACTAGATCTAAGTATCCAAGAGAAATACTAGAACTAGCTAAAGAACCTAAGAAACTAAGCCAAGGTCAACAGATCTATTAAAAAAGAAAAGAATAAATAGTAACAAGGAAATCAACTAAGAACCTCCTAGAAATTATCAACTTAAGAACCCTTAACAAGGCAGGATAACTCTTTACAAGGCTCTCCATTCGGATCTTTTACTTCCTATTCCGTTTAAAATTAAAGAAAACCGCTAAACCTAATTCTTTCTTCTTAGATCCTAGACACCGGATCTTCTATCTATATCTACAATAAAACTATAGAATCTAGGTATACTCTACAACGCGCTACCTCGCCTCAAGATATTCTTATAGCAGGAGAAACCTACAGCTAAATCGAATCCTTTAGAACAATTAATATCAGAGTTAATAGACTTAATAGAAAAGGATACTTTCAGCTACAAGATATAGCCTATATCCTAGGCTATCTAACCAATATTATATCTTTTAAACGAGCTTAAGAAAAGGGATTTTAATAGAACTCCGAAAAAATAATTCTACACAAAGAATAGAAACCTCTTTACACTATCTCTTTCAAACATAATTAGTATCTACTAGAAGATAACTCTTCCCTTCAGTCTTCTCAGCAAGAACACTCCTTCTTTACACGCAAAGCTTCCGCAAATACGTAGTATAAAACACTTACTCATACCAACAGAGAAGCCATTAATTACCTCGAATCCTCAATACAAGGAGTAACTATTTCCACAGAAGACTTAGCTCCTAAGACTCACTAATACGAAACTTACGCAGTATTAAAGATCTACAAAGTCATTTTAAGATCTTTAAACAAGAAAGAATCTTTACAAGAACCCTTCTACAGGATCTCATTTAATTTAATTTAAATTAAACCTAGTTTTAACAAACACTAGTATATTTCCTACCTCGCCTACATCTCTACTAGATTTACTTTTATCTACACGCACCAAAACAAGATAAACTCAATCTAGTATATCAATAATACTCTCTAATTCATCAAAACAAGATACAAGAAATAAGTTATTTTCTTTAGAACAGATAGAGAAAAATCTCTCACTCAAGACTTTTAAAAGGATCTTAAAAATCAAGGCATCTTAATCGAATTCTCTACTCCTTACACTCTAGAATAAAATAGTCATATAGAAAGATCAGGAAGAACTCTTCTTAATAAAGCAAGAACTATACGAATAGGAGCAAATCTCCTAGCTTCCCTTTAGCCAGAAATTATCAAGGCAGCAGGATATATCTACAACAGAACTCTAAGAAGACAAAATCAGTAGAAGACACCTTTTCAAGCAGTAACTAGAATTAAACTAGATCTCTCTCATCTCAGAATATTTAGCTACAAAGCCTATATACTAAGAAGAGATATCTCTAGATTAAATAAACTTAAATAAAGAGCACACATTGGTTTTCTACTAGGATATTTATCTACCAATATCTTTCGCATCTAGATCCTAAGCTAAAGAAAGGTTATCTAAACCAGAGACCTTCTCTTCAATAAAGAAGAATTTTACAATCTAGAAGAACTAGATCTAGTATAACTACTAGAACAGCTAACAACTATTAAAACTCTTTTAATCCCTTCTCCTTTAGAACTTCTAGAAGAACTAGAAGAAGAAGAAGACATTCAGCTCTAACAGAATCTACAACCAATACAAGAGAAACTACAGGAAAGAACTCATCTTCCCTCTCCATCTCTTACAAGAGAAACAAGAGATTCTACAAGAGAACCTTCTCCTTCAGCTCCATTAGAAGCATCTTTAACAAATACTTCAAGCACTCTCAGCAATATACAAGTACAACAACTAACGCAAACTCAGCAAACCTCTTAAAAGAAGAAAAGCAATATAGCTCTAAGAGCTACTAAAATTTCAAGCGAGCTTAACCTAAGCAACATTCTTTCAGAATCTTTAAAAAGAATAAGAAGAAGTTAATACAATTAGGCACTCAAGGATACTAACAAGAACTTAAGCTTCTATAACTCCTTTCTCAGCTCCTTCTCTTTACTAAACCTAAAATCAAATCTCTACAGAGATACTCTTCCTCTAGAACTAACAAACTATAAATAAATACTTTAGTATTCCTTCTTAAAGGAATTCCAACAAGCTTTACGTGCAGAAATTAAGACTCTTTAAGCAAAAAATACCTAGAAAGAAGTTCTAATCTAATAGGTAGAAAAAGCCAATAAGCTTCCAGTACCTCTTACATAGGTTTTCAAGTACAAATTCGACACTAAAGGAAATCTTCTCAAATTCAAAGCAAGACTCTACGTTAGAGGAGATTTACAATCTACAGAACAAGATACTTATACAGCAACACTTACAGCAAAAACCTTTAGAGCTCTTATAGCAATAACAGCTACCTATAACCTAGAAACAAGATAATTTAATACTATTAATACATTTATCAACAGCGACGTAGACGAAGATATCTACTATATTCTACTAGAAGAATATCCAGCTACAAAGAACTTTTAGTTCTACCTTCTTCTCTATAAGGCTTTATACGGTCTTAAACAATCACCAGCTCTCTAGTACAAGTTTCTTTTAAAAGAACTTCTTAAACTAGAACTAGAAGAAGTCCTAGGAGCAAACTATATCTTCATAAATAGTAAAATCACTATTTTCTTCTTTATAGATAATATTATAGTTATCTATTATAAAAAGTACACAGGATACGCAGATCTCTTTTAATAGAAGCTATTAAATACTTTTAAAATTAGATCTCTTAGAGAAATTAACTAGTTCCTTACAATCCGAGTAGTAAGAGAGGCCGCGAAATCCTACTGCACGCGTCTACGTCGCCGCGGCTAGTAATATCTATTAGAGGAGCGTCTCTAATAGGTAGCTAAGTATAGAGGTAATGGGTAGTAGCCTGTAACACGTTATTACAGGCTGTTAGGGTACGGCTTCGACGCGATAAAAATTTTTCATCGACGCGCCGACTACGACCACAACCGCGCTGCCTACTACCTCCGCTTAGGCAATGCGACCATCTATCTAGGGAGGCCTATTAAGGGAAATAGGAGACGAAAACTAACCAACGTACGACTACCTGGCTCGCAGCTAGGCCCGACGCTGGCCTATTATCTAGCCAGCCGATATAGACGC